GGGGGTGGCTGTCCTAGTGTTCCAGGGTTTGAGGGACAAGAATTGACTAGGCTATGGGAAGTGTGAAGAAGCAAGGGAAGGCTGAGGGCTGCTCATATGTGAAAAGTGATCTCACCTCTACAGGATCAGCACCTGTTGAGAGTCCTTCAAAGAAAGGAAGGTAAAGCAGAGCGAAGAAGCACCATCAGAAAGACTCCTGGGAGTCTGCAGTTATTAAATGGAGTTGTCTAGTGGGGTCATAGCAGGCAATTTCACACAGGAAATACCCTCAGTAAGCAAAATAAAGGATGAGGGAATAGATGGATGGATGGATGGATGGATAGATAGATAGACAGATAGATATAGATAGCTTTATTTCTGATTTTTGCACTCAAAGAATGTCAGCACATGCCGATGATGAAGGAGCTTTTACCCCAGAATGCAAAGCTGTTTAATGTTGGAAATGAGTTATTATGGTACAGCCTATGAAAAACAGAATGTGGTGGGGGGACATGGTTGAATCAGTAGGTACTAAAATGTAAGAAATGACAAAGTTGCACACTCATTATTTTTTCAAAAAAGAGAAAAATTACAAATTCCTAGAATTTGTTTGATAGAAATATTTACCCATGTAGTCAAGACATGTGAAAAAGGATTTTAAAAGAAATGGCAAAATGACTAGAAAGTAGGCAGCAAAATTATGATAATTTGCAGATAAGGAAGTTTTTCTTTCCAGAAAAATAAACTACAAAATTATTACCTTTCCTGCAAAACAAATAACAAGTAGGAGTTATTATATATGAGACGTTCCTATTTACAGCAACCCCTTATGTTATAATTTGCTAGGGATGCCACAACAAAATTATACAGATTGCATGGCTTAAACAGAAATTTATTTGGTCACAATTCTGGAGGCTAGAAGTCCAAGATCAAGGTGTCAGCAGGGTTGGTTTCTCCTGAGGCCTCTCTCCTTGGCTTGCCTTCCGGTGTATCTTCACAGGGCCTTCAGGTTTCTGCACATCCTAACCTTGTATCAGGACATCTGTTCCACTGAATTAGGGTCCACCCTAATGACTTCATTTTAACTTTGTCATCTTTTAAAGGGCCTACCTCCAAATAGTCACATTCTGAGGTTCCAAGTCATGATTTCAACAAATGAATTTGGCGGGGATTGTCACATTTTAGCCCATAACATCCTCAGAAAACATACGGTACTGCAACATAATCCTAAAAATGACATTAACAATCTAGAGAAAAGCAGGTATACCCTGAGATTTTTCCAAAAGATATTTAAGAAAAACCTTTAAGTAATGGAGAAATGCACCATGTTCTTGGTGGGAAAGTCTTAGTATTATAAAATTTCAATAAAATATCGTTTTATACTTTACAGGTATAAAATGATTTTACCCAAAAGCCTAATAGGAATTTTTCAAGCCTCTTTATTTCTTACATTACCTTTTTTTTTGGGGGGGGGGGGGGACTTGACTACTGAACAACATCCCTAGTCCAATTTTCTTTTTTTGTTAAAATACTTATTTTTCAGTTATAGGTGGCCACAATATCTTTATTTTATTTTTATGTGGTGCTGAGGATCAAACCCAGTATCTCATGCATGGTAAGCGAGCGCTCTACCTCTGAGCCACAACCCCAGCCTCCCAATCCTATTTTGTATTTTATTTAGAGACAGAGTCTAGCTGAGTTTCTTAGCACCTCTATTTTTGCTGAGGCTAGCTTTGAACTTGTGATCCTCCTGCCTTAGCCTCTCTAGCCACTGGGATTACAGGCTTGTGCCACCACACCCAGCTGTTACATTACCTTTAATCGTACATTTTATTTCCAGTGGATGTACTGCCATCAGCTAAGGCCCATCATTTTTCACCCCTAATCAACATTTCCAAACTCCTTGGATCTAGCAATAGGAAACCATCACCCAACCAATCATTACAATAAAACCCCTGGTTTATCTTTGGAAATTCTATCTTCAGTCCTTTGCAGCCATCCTTGTTAAACTGGTCCCTTCAGTTCCATTCCTATCCACCCTTCTTACCTCAAACTTGAACTATACCTCTGCACATCACCATCATCTAGATTAAACTTTCTAAAATATGATTTTCTTCACCTTCTTCCAAGTTTACAAATACTGTACTCAGTAACTCTACTTGGGTGAACTTGGACAAGTTAATTAATCACTGTGCCTCAGTTAACCCAACTATAAAATGGGATGGCAACAGTACTTACATGATAGACTTGTCAAACGTGTTTATAATTTTAAAACACTTAGAGCAGAAGGTATTTTATATGTATCCAATAAATAATAAAAATTGTACCATTATTTTACCTGGTGCTTAAAGTACTCTTTCCTGTGGGTTTAGGCACTATATTTCCTTTTCAAATGATTATATTCAGAAATAGTTGAATATTTTACCAATGAACAGGAGTGTTTATTACAGCAGTATTTTTAATAGTATGAGATTGAAGGTATATGTACATTAGTAAAAATATGTATTTTAGATGTTGTTATCTATGAAAACTGTAGAGAGACAAGGGTTAATATGTAGACAAAAGGTACATATGACATGAAAGGATGGCCATAATATATTGTTAAGAAAAAAATTAAATAAGAATAAGCACAATATGCTCTCATGCACATTCATTCTGGGGAGAATAGGAGGATATACATAAAGTTGTTAGCAGAGGACATGAAATGATGCAGTATGCACTTCCTGGGAAAAAGTGTTATTTTTATAATTAAAGCAAAATAAAAACAAAGGAGTAATGAGGAAAAAATAAAACCCTAAAATACATTTAAAACTGCTTTATCTCTTGGAAAACTCACTTATCCAACAATAACTAGTTTTTGTCTTTGATCTTCAAATATATTTTGTCAGAACTGAACGAAAATACTGGTGGATTTGGGGGTTGACAAGGAGTCAAGTGCTAGAATTTGCTTCAGAATCTTTATCTCACCAAGAACTGTAACACCTTGTAAATTAACCTCAAATGCTGGTCTGTACATTTTTTGAGAAAAAGGCATCACCAAAAATTTTTGCATTACTCTCAAAGTCAGCTAACAGATATGTAATTACCTGGGAAATTTGGTTGGGAAGCAAAACCTTCCTTCTTAAGCACTGAAGTTTAAGGGAACAGCTACCCTTTTCAACAAACAAATCTCAGGCTCATGAAGTAGAAAATCTAGTAGATGATTGAATTTGCTCAACTTTTTGAGGCTCTCTTCCATTACCAAGAGAAAACTCAGGGAGTTGTAGTAAAGTTAAAAACCCCCTTTTCCATAGATGTTTCCAGGAGTTCCTATATGCTCAGATTCAAAGGATGTGGAGTTGTAAGTAGAACATATCCCTCTGTAAAGGTGGTACGAAGAGGAAGTGCCCTTAAAGAAATGAATAACACAAGGGATTGTAGCCACCTAGTACCTGCTTTGTCTAGAAAACAGCCTGTTTGCATTTTCCAACACTGGACCTCATTGGGCATCAGGAAGCTAGGCCTCAGCCGCCACCTGGTGACGCTGATGACGCGTGATGAGTCCCAGCTGCCGCAAATAGAAAGGCTGAGCCGACTCCTTTAAGAAGCTGACTCACGTGGATGCTGTGTTGTGTGCTCTCAGCTGGGAGAGGGGTGGATCCTCAGTCTCACCACATTGGCCACTTAGAGAGAGGGGGCAGAGCTAACCTCTTTGATTGGCTGTCCGAGTCCGAGTCGTTGGACCAGGGGCGGGGCGATCTGCAGTCACCCAGCCCTCGATCTGCGGCTTCTGGGAGGGGTGGGCCATCAAGTGAAGAGGAGCAGGAGTGGGGGAGGGTGAGTTGGTGAAGGGGCGGGGCCCAGCGGAAGGGGCTGGGTACCAGGGGGAGGGGCGGGGCCTAGAAATGAAGGGCGTTCTGGGCCAACCGGGTGAGCCAGCCGCAGGGGGGGCGGAGTTACACCGGGTGATTGACGCTGAGGCCCAACCAGGGAGAGGCGGGGCCAAGGCCTGCCTAAACCTGGAGACTCGGGTGGCTGAGGGGCTTCGTCCCAGCTGAAGAGCGAAGAGCCGCTGGCAGCGCGGATCTCACCGCCTCTCAGGGTGAGTGCTGCGGAGGGGACTGAGCTTGGGGCCTGAAGAGTCCCTCCAAGCCTGGAAGCTTTGAAACCCTCGGAGAACGGCCCTGGGGCGGGGGCCGAGGCAGGAAGTGCCTCTTCTTCGCTGTGCTCGTCCCGGGGTCCCGGTGCTGCCACCCCCGACCCCTCAAGGAGGGCCTCGGCGCTGGGCTGCGGGGCGGGGCGGGCTGGACCGTTCCTCTTTGTGAGGCCCAGGCGCCTCCGCCTCCATCGGCCCGCCCCCGCCGCGCAGCTGGGAGACCGGCTAGACTATATCAGCCGCGACCCCTCCGCGCGCCCGCACCCCCTTTCGCCCTGGCCGTGGGAGCCTAACGCCGCGCCCTCCACGAGTCCGCCTCAGAGACCCGCACGCACCACCAGACTCCCCGCGCCCTCCGAGGATGGTGTGTCCCGCGACTACACCCCCCACTCCGCCCGCCACCGCCTCGGCCGCCCCGCCCCCACCGGGCCGCCGTGCCCGCCGCAGCGTCGGGGGCGCGCCCGGGCTCCGTGCCGGGGTCGGCCCTGTGGGCCTGCGCTCCGGGCCGCCTCCCACCCCGCCCGACGTGGAGGCTGAGCTCAGCGCTGAGTTGTCCCGACCATGGTGACGCCGCGGAGCGTCCTGGCCCGGGAAGCGCCCTTCGCTCGGCCCGTGGGGCTTTGCCCACGTCGGGCGGAGTTGGCGCCTGTTTTCTGCCCCGCGGCGTGAGCGCCCGCCTCCCCTACCCCCCTGTCCTGCAGGTCCCTGGGCGTGGGGTGACTGCTGGGCAGCCTGCCGGTGCTGCAGGCCCCGAGAGCCCGCGCCCGCCCAGCTGTTCGGCCTGTGTTTGTTGTGCCGGAGGAGGCCCCGCTGCCGCCGCGCTCGCCGCCCTGCGCCTCCAGATTGGCTGGCGGTATCACGTGGCCGCGATCAGCTGGGCCCGCTGGCGGTGGGGGCCAGACAGGTCTTCAGCTGCTGCCGGCGGAGCCCACCCGGAGTAGTGTCTCGGGGTCAGCAGCCTTCCTGCCTCTCGCTGGTGGGAGGATAGGCGTTCTTCTGCACCCCCCTTTTTCTTCACCCTGCGCGGGTAGGTAGTATTAACACCAGCGGGAGTGGGAAACTAAAATTCTACAAAGATCTATTTAATCCTGACACCTACTAATCCTTTCAAGGGAGAGTCAGGGAAGGTATACAGCTCATTTATTTTTAAACTTTTTCTGTTTACAGAGCCCCATTGGTAATTCGAGGATTTTTATTCCAGATCTCTTTGATAGATGGAAAACCTGAAGTAACCTCGGGTTAACCTTGTGTTTTGGAAAAGTTAATAGACTTACTGGTGAAGTAACTGGGGTAATAGGATATATGCATTTGCATAGCAACATATAAAGGATTGCAGCTGCATTCCAACAAAGAGGAAGCAAAAGGCATGCAGTATTTCCAGGATACATACTTGTACCAGATGTGAAATGCTTTGGTGGATTTTTTTTCCTGAAAGTTTATTGCATAGTTGTACTGGATTAGGTAAGAAGGAAATTACAAAGAATTTGGTCTTGACAGAAGCCTGCAATTTACCAAAAAGTCAGACAAATGAAATTGAGTAACGATACAGAGTTAAATATTAGTAAAGTGTGAAATGGGTATTATGAGAGTTCAAAATGGAGCTGTGAGAAATGAGAAAGAGGAAATAAGAAAGTAAAGCAGCATTCTGAAGTAGATTGGTGTTGATGATTAGACCTAGAAAATGAAGGGCCTTGGGTTGCAACTGGGCAGATGCTCTTGGAGTGAAAACAGACCTGGAGCATTTATAGCTAGAAGCAAAGCAGAACTATGAAATTTGGCACACAAAATATTTTCCATATATCCCTGTTACCTTTCTGGGTATGTAAGCTTTGGGCTAACTAGGAATACTAGGTAGAATGTACACTCTTTTGAAAGAACTGTATCTTTTTTTTTTTTTTTTTACACCTCATTACATCAAATACAGACTTAAAAGATTTTTATCTCTGTAACCATCTTATCCTTAGGAATAAGATGAAATCTCAATTATTTATACAAGGAAATTAAGTAAATTGGGATTAATATTAACTTTTCCCTGCAAATTCAGCCTGGTGCAGTGGCATAATCCTGTAGTCCCAGCCACTTGATAGACTGAGGCAAGGGGGTCACTTAAGCCTACAGGTTTCGAAACAGATTGGGCAACATAGTAGAAGCAGGTTTAGTAACAGTAAAAAGTAAAAGGAAATAAGGCCAAAAATTCTGTTGAAAAAAAAAATTAAGCTTGATTCTACCCTCCAAAAAACAGTCTGTGAAATATGAAGATAGGTCTGAATATATTCATAAGATGTTTGTGGCCATAAAAATCTTTTTAGGTTTTATAGTTAATAGCTATGTAAATCCATATTAATTTCCCTGATAATCCTGTGTGTAATGTAGGAAATAAACCTTGTTAGATATGAATGTGCTATATTTGACACCTGAATCAGGAAACCAGACAGTTAAATTATACTCACGGTCCAACCAATTAGAAGCTTTTTGTATTGCATCTCAACAAATGAGAGATCATGAATTTGCCTTGCCAGGAGGTTTTGGGGGAGATTACCGACTCAGATTGTTTGCTGACTCATGACTTGCTGAGTTATATGACTGGTCTTATTTTCTAAAGATGATTAAGCAGTCAGTGTTTTAGAAATATAGTAAACTTGGAAATTGCTTAACAAAACAATCGCTTCCCCCCAATAAAAGCAATTTTAGGAGGGAAGAACAAAAACATGCTTAGTAATTACTGTCAAATGAAGACCTGGTCCCACAAACAGGACATCATTTGACACAGCAAAGTAACTGATCCAGTATTTGCAAGAGGATAACACGGCTTTTTTGTGTCACTGAAATCTTGTCTTGATAAATATTTTGTACAAAAACTAGAAAACTGGTTTTATGGTTTTAAACTATTTTCACATGTAACTTTTCAATAGAATTTAATTACAAATCAGTATGAAAATGGTGGAATTGCGGTAGGATTAAGTGTTTACTATAGTAATTAACCCAGCACTGTTAGAAGTTCTTTGGGTTTTATTCCTTGTTTTAAAGAGGAGACTGAAACTAGATATAAAACACACTTCCTCATGATTCCATTTTATCAGAATAATTGCAAAAGAGGAATGGAAGATCATATTTCTTTAACCCTTTCTGTACTAGGCTCCTTCTTCTGAGGTTCCCTGCTGCAGAGTATTCTAGTTGCCTTTGTCTCTCCTGATACCTTAGAAAATCCCCTCTGGCCTGTCCAATAGTGATGTTTGGTGGAGTGTGTATTCCTTGGAAATGTCCCCAGGGGTTAATTCCTTTACTAAGGAAAGGTCTGTGAACTGGGTGTTTTTCCATTATAAAGTCCTATGAGATGCAAATAGATACCTATTGTTCTCTCTGATATTTTTAGAGCTGGGAAATAGTGTCGTCTTTGGCTAATTCCACTTGCCAGTGTTGAAATGAAACTGGATTATTAATTATAGGGAGAGCTGTTACCTATTTTAAGACCTAGAATTGTGACACTAAGAATTTGAGATGCTTCAGAATGTTTCTAGCTTTCCTCCTGCTGGTAATTTCTATTATCATTGCTGTAATTAATAGAAGGTGAAGCTACTTAATTATTATTGTTTCATATTTTTTTTATAAGCCTTGCTTTCCTCATCTGTGATAGTGGGAAGTTGGAATGGGATATGTTGTAGAAGGTGATCCAATTTTACTGACCTTTATTTAGCATTCACTGTGTGCCAGTCACTGTTCTTATGATATGGTATTTCTATTTAATTCAGCCACTCAAAGATGGATATTGTTATCTTCATTTTATAGATGAGGTAGCAGAGGGTAATTTGCCCAGGATTGACAAACTATTAAGGAGAGCTGAGATGAACCCAGGGAGTCTGATTTCAGAGTTCAAGTACCTACCTAGGCTATAATAAGTCCCTGGGGGTAGAAAGAGAAGTAGCAACAGCTGGGTATATATTATTTATTTGTGTAATCTTTATGTAGTTGATCTGCAACTAGCTGAACTGGTTATAAAAATTAAGGATTTTAGCTAGAAGTCCAGGAAGAAAAGAGGAGTGGGATTAAAATGATCTTGTCAGATTTTCCTGTTGATCCTTAAACCCCGACTGCTAGCCAAGTTTCCGATTTTCTGAAGACTGCTGCCTCAAATGAAAAGCTTTTTCACTATCAGTGTATTTTTAAGCAGGGCAAACTTGTTTCTCTAAGGAGTGAGGTAGTGAATATTTTGAATTTTCAAATCTGCAAGTTTTTGTAGCAGCTACTCAGACTGTCATTGTAGTGAAAAGGTAGCTAAGTATAAACAAATGGGTGTTGCTTTATTCCAAAAAAAGTTTAATTATGACTACTGATGTTTTCTTTTTTGTTTTTGATACCAGGGATTGAACCCAAAGGCACTTTACCACTGAATCACATCCCCAAACCTTTTTTTTTTTTTTTTTTTTTGAGGCAGAGTCTTGCTAAGTTGCTGAGGCTGGCTTAGAACTTGTGATCCTCCTGCCCCAGCCTCTTACAGGTGTCCACCACCATGCTCAGCTAATATTCGAATTTCAGGTAATGTTCATGTGTCACAAAATACTCTCAATGTTTCTTTTTCACCCATTTAATTTTTAGTTTGTGGGATGTTAATGGGTTTGTCCCACAAGCCTTAGTTTACTGACCCCTGCTTTTAAAGAATACTTAGCAATGAGCCAGATTAAAAATAAGACATTATGCTTCATTTGCTAGTGTAGATAGAAAAGATACCATGGATTTTTTTTAGAAAATTGCTTTATTGATCTGGAAACAGATTAGGAAATTATGTAATCCATCATATTCAATTTTTAAAGTAATGCATTTCCAGAGGCTTTGGATTCTTAAAAGATAAAAATCTTTTTTTCTCTCCTTCAGATTCTGTAATTTTTAAAAAATTATCTTTTTAATATTTTTAGTTGTAATTGGACACAATACCTTTATTTGTTTATTTTTACGTGGTGCTGAGAATCAAACCCAGCACCTCGCACGTGCTAGGCGAGCACTCTGCCACTGAGCCACAACCCAAGTATTTTAAAAGGCAGAGATCCTAAAATGTGATTGTTTCACCAGGATCTTCTGATATAATAAATTGGAAGTTCATTATCAAAATCTGGTCTATGAATTTCATTTATATTTTCATCCTGGCCCCTGGTTCAGGTAATTTTAGACTAATAAGAAGCCTCCAGTTAAACATCAAGTTTGGAACTTTTCTTATTTCAGCCATTTTAGGATTTTTATAACCTGGAACTTTGAAAAATGAGTACCAAAGAGACCTTACCTAAATTATCTGGGAAAGGTTTCCATAAACCTGGAAGTTCAACACTGATAGGTAGCACAGTGTGCCCTTGTATTACTGTGAGACCCCGTAAGGTGCTTCAGATTCAACAGAGGACATTGGTCATCTGTTTTGTACAGAAGATGGAACCCATGAGCACTTTACCACTGAGCCACATCCCCAGCCCTTTTTATTTTTTTGAGGCAGGGTATTGCTAAGTTACTGAGGCTGGCCCCAACTTGTGATCCTCCTGCTTCAGCCTCCCGAGTTACTGGGATTATAGGTGCACTACTGTGCTTAGCAGCAGGCACTTTTTGATATGTTTTAGAACTATGGCTGAAGAGATTTGAGATTCCACTAAGTTAAGGCAAGTGATTAGCATACCTGGGAAATATTTTAGATGTAAAAATAATCACAGTAAGCAGGTCAGTGGTTGCTAGTGTGGGGGTGGTGATGTCAGGAATTAGCTATAGACTGGTTTGTGGGAATTTTATGGGGATGATGGAAATATTTGAAGGGCAGTTTGTGGTGTTGTCACACAACTTTATAAGTTTACTAAAGATCATTAAATTGTATGCTTATAGTAAGATTTTTTTGGATATAATATTCCTTGATACAGGAGTTTGGGGTTTTGTGTGTGTGTATGTATGTGTGCACGCACGCCTGTGCTTTTTTGTGGGGCTAGTGATCAAACCCAGGGCCTCTTGCATGTTAGGCAGATAATCTGTTGCTGAGCTACATCCCCAGCCCAATATCCTATCCCATCAGAAAAAGTTTCAAAGTTTATGGGGAGTGGTCTCTGAGCTTTGAGAAAAGGGTGACTGAAGCACATGCCTCTGACTTTATTTGGTAGCACTAGTTCAGCATGAATGTAGTAGCACCTGTGAATGTATGTTAAACACTTGACCTTGAAATTTTATCTAGATGGGATCAGAGTTTAAATGAAGACAGATATGAGGGGAAAGGAGGAAATCCAAAAGTGTTTTCAGAAGTAATGTCAATTTTGAGTTTTTTCCTTTATCTGTAAAAGAAAGGAAATAAGTATCAACTTTAAGAAATGTCAGAATTAATTGTGGCTTGTAACATACCAAGTGCCATGCCCTGTACAGTGGAGATATCAAATAATTGATTAGATTTATAGCAGAGTTCAGTATATCATCCAGGCCCAGAGAAGCCTGATTCAAGTGTTGAATGTTAACTTTTTAATGACCCTACTCCTTAGTCTGTTCAGGCTGCTGTAACCAAATACCACAAACTAGGTGACTTAGCCAATAACAGAAATTTCTTACAGTTCTGGAGCCTGGGAAGTGGAAGTCCAGGATCAAGGGACCAGCAGATTTGGTGTCTGGTGGGGGCCTGTTGCCTAGTTGATTTCTGGTAACTTCTAGCCAAGTCCTCACATGGTGGGAAGGGACAAGGGACAAGGCAGTTTTCCTGGACCTCTTTATAAGGCTGCTAACACCATTCACGAGGGTTCTGCCTTCATGACCTAAACATCCTCAAATTCCATCACATTGGTGCTTAGATTTCAACATACAGATTTTACAGGGAACAAACATTCAGATATAGCAGTGGAATTCTAATTGATGTCAGCTTCTTGAGAGTTTGAATAATGAGTCATTACTGGTTGATTTGTAACCTGGCAAGGCTAAGGCCTACCACCTGGAATCTAATGACCATGCAGAGACTCTTCTACTTCCTAAAGACCTTTGGTGCAAGGCATGTTTTTCTTGCTTCTGCTGGATTCCATGGCATTCTAGTGTTTTTTTTTTTTTTGAGGGGGCAAATAAAAATTACATTTTACAGTTTTAAATACATATATAGTATTCTATAAATGGCAAGCAACCACAACTAGGAATAGTGTAACATAAGGTTCTGCCCAGATATTTTTGGTCTTGGTAATGAATCATATATAATTGAATTCAGTAAAAATAGACTAAAGCAGAGAAAACAAGGCATATTAAGTCTATCCCCAGTACCAGCTGGTCACAGCTGTATTATAATTTTGAGCCAAAGATAGAATGGTGTAGGTAGAAGGTATAGAGAGAATTCTTTTGAAGTTCAGGACATTTATTTTCCCACAAAAATCTTATCTCCCATAGTCAGTCCAGAAAGTTATAGTTAGTACTGCATTATGGTTGAGATAAGTTACAATATGAATATGTTATTAAAAGTGTGAAGGAAAATTAGCTTTAAAATCTCAAGTCCCAGAAACTGGAGGCTAAGTGACTGCACAAATACTGTAGAATGTAAGAACTATACTATCACAGTTGAGCCTCAAAACCTTGCTTTTGATTCCTTTCTTTTAATGATCAGTTAAGAAACATGACCAAAGTCAGCTCACAGGTTTGTTGAATGCTCCTTTTATATTGAGAGTCAAAAATCAAATGTTGGTACAAGGACGAAAAAGGTGAACTGTGTAAAGCAGAATGGAGAATGAGCAGCAGGGGATAACTGAAGGGGCAGTGTTGCTCTAGTATAGTCGGGGATGCTAGAGGAGATAACTGTGTGGACACCCTATGTTGCTAGATCTCTCCATGGTTGAAAAGAACCGGAAGTACAGGCTCTTTTCCTAAATCTTAAATATCAGGACACCATTTTTTTTTTTTAATGAAGAATAAAAACTGGAGTGGCCCAAATAAAATGTGTCTGTTTTGTTCACTGCTGGATTCCTGGGCTACTGAATGAGTTCATCCTACAGGGCTCTGACTTAACAAATATTATGTTCTGAAGTATCCTGAAAAAGTAATGCTAGAATCTTGAAAGGCTATAAAGATAGGCAATGAGTATTATTACTTTTTGTTGCTCCTTTTGCAGAAGTGTAATCAGAAAATTATATACACCTTAAATCCGTGTGTGTGTCTGTATGTATTGAACCCATGATGCTTAACCATTGAACCATATCCCCTTTTTATATTTTATTTAGAGACAGGTCTTGCTGAGTTGCTTAGAGCCTCGCTAAGTTGCTGAAGCTGGCTTTGAACTCAAGATCCTCCTGCCTCAGTCTCCTGAGCTGCTGTGATTACAGGCGTGCACCACCATGCCCGGCTTAAATTTGTTTTTGTGACTCTTGTTAATATACTGATTTTACTTTGACTAGCTGGGTTTTTTTTTTTTTTTTTAAATGTTCCAAGCTTGGAGTAATTATATTCACTATTTTTTATTCCTTATTAAATTTTCATATCCTAGTGATTAAGGGAAGTGATAATGTTGTTTATAACAGTGACACTTCTGATGACAGGACTGCCTAGTGGTTCAGAAATTTATAGATCTAAGAAGGAATGGAATTTGCTTTTTCAATTTATAATGATGTTCCCAAAACTTTAAGATGACAGTGGTTTCTTAAAAATCCAGAAAGTCTATTTTTTTCCCCACCATAGGGGCAGCTGTATCAGCTCTGCGTGTCCTTTTAAAGATGTGTATTATTAAATATTTAAAACTCAGAATTAACTCCCTTAACTTTTGAAATATTGATGTTTGATTTTTCCTAGTTTCAAAGGTTTGTTTCAAGTTTTACCTGTTGAGAGTTTCAGCACTTTGGGGATGTATTGAATATGTAAGATTTCTTAAGGATAAGCAAGTTATATAATAATAAGAAAGAAAGCATCTCTTAGCATCTCTTATCTCCTTTTACCTTTTCTGTTCTGAGGCGTGACCTCAACCATTGTGGGTACCCATTTTGCGGGGAGGCCCAGGAGAGCAGTGGAAAAAGAGGTTTGTCTTTGAGTAGGGCAGGGCACTCCAGCTGATTTTTTTTGTTTGTTTTGTTTTGTATTGTATTTAACAACTGTGTCACCTTTGGCCAGTTAATAACCTTTTTAGACTTGCTGTGGCTAATCTGTGAAGTGGGGGTGGTAACAGCCTGCCAAAGTTGTAACAATTTTGAAATAAGTACTTAGTGCAGTGTTCCTAGACTTGGGACAGAGACCTAACTGAAGTTAGTGCCATCGCTCCTATATAGTTACAGATGTACCCAGTGATCACAGACCCACTCACCTTATGCTCTCAAACTGGACTCCCCTTCTTGTTTTTAAATTGCCCTTTTTCCTACTCTTCCCCAGTCATCCCACACATACTCCACAGGTCTTTTCTCCGATTGCACATGCTTAGAATGTATCCTCAACACCTTTGCTGAACTTTTTTTTCATCTCTGTGTCAGTGCTTTGTAAGCATTCATTTTCTGAAATTCCCACTTAGTTCTTTTTTTTCCCTTACACCAGCCATTCCTTGGCCTTGCCTAAACAAGTGTATTTCCAAAGCCCGGAATATGCCTGTTTATTTGTTCAGTGTGTGAACTTTGGATCCTTTTGTTCGGGGTCAGCTATTTTACACAGCAAGCACAGAAATTACATGAATATAAATGATTCTCTGTGATACCCCCAAATAGTAACGTGTTTTACTATAATGCATTTCTCATTATTTTCCATTTGTTCCTAGGTTTTTTAGAACTTCAGCTATCAAAATGGGCAGAATTTTCCTTGATCATATTGGTGGTACCCGTCTGTTTTCTTGTGCAAACTGTGACACAATCCTGACTAACCGCTCAGAACTCATCTCTACTCGGTTCACAGGTGCCACTGGTAGAGCGTTTCTTTTTAACAAGGTTGGTGAAAAATGTTTCGTTCCTAAATGGACCCAGTGCACATATCTGACAGCAATACCAGAATACCCACTCAGAGCTTAGAGATACCAGGAAGATACAGAATGAGAGCTGCAATCTATAGAAATTATTGCTTATTGATTTGTCTCTGATGGGACCTCTGGGAGACATTACTAGAAGAAGATTTTTAACCTTGAAAGTTTAAAGAATGTATTATAAGAAGGATAGTCTTCATTTCTTCAGAAAGTCTCCAATATAAGAATTTGTTAGTGACTTCTGCATAGACTGTGGAAGGAGGGGCCAAAATGCCTACTTTCATCCCCCATCTATCACTGATGTGTCCATGCCATGCTAAACTGTTGTAGCTTGGCAGTAAGAGCATCATCTAACCAGCTCCTCTTGCTCCAACTCATGCTCACCAGTCCTCCTGAGTATGATTTGGTTCGTTACATGGGCCTGTGAACATTAAAGGCTTTTCCTGATTTGCGAATATTTGTCCAATCTGCCTGCTTCTGAGATTACTGATTTGATCAGTTAATGTTAACATAGTACAGCACAGGTGTTGACATACTGTGGCAGGCAAGTTTGCCTGTTTCCTGAATTTTAATGGAATACAACATTGCCCCATTGTTTGATTAAATATGTCTATTGCTGTTTTCATGCTATAATACCAGAGTTAAATAGTTTATTATTTATTACAAAAAAGTGAAGTGTAAAAGTATTATTGGGTCTGCAGAATCATCTATCTTAGAACTCAACTTCATTGTGTTCATTGTCTTTGAACTCACTTGAAAACTGAATTGCAGTTTATGATTTTATAGTAGGCTTGGTCTGTCCTAGCCCATTTGTATATAAAAAATATTTTCGGAAACACATTTGACAAACTTTGATGGCATGTTCTTGGTGTAATAGTTTCTTTTACATTGATTATCTTAATTTGCACTCATTGAATAGTGATTGGTAACAATTAGATCCAAACCTGTATTTCATGGCTCCAATTCCAGGACTCTTACTTCACTATGACACAAAAATATAACTAACATATATAAAGAGCATGACATGGGCTAGTGCAATAATGCATGATTGCATTAGATGTTCAGTATACTGCAGTTTCCATATATTCACTTATCTCAGCAACTTCTAAAACTAGAGAAGTTGTAGGTTTGACTAAAATAACAAACTTCTGTTTTCTGAAATTGTTGTTATTGCACCAATCATAATATATGGCATGCTTATTTGGCAAATAACTTACATGCCTTTGCAATTTTGTTTTCACATGTTTCTTAGGTAGTTAACCTACAGTACAGTGAAGTTCAAGATCGGGTCATGCTCACTGGCCGCCACATGGTTCGGGATGTGAGCTGCAAAAACTGCAATAGCAAACTGGGATGGATCTATGAGTTTGCTACTGAAGACAGCCAGCGTTATAAGGAAGGCCGTGTGATCCTGGAACGTGCTCTAGTTCGAGAAAGTGAGGGCTTTGAGGAGCACGTGCCATCTGATAACTCTTGAAGAAAAAGAGATAAATCCATCTTTTCCCAGGTCTCCTTCACTGAAAACAAAAATCTACTTACATACACTGTCACCTTAGCATCAGAGTCGGATTCATGAACTGCGGAACAAGAGGTTGTGAGAATCTAAGATGGAACCTTTCTTTTCTTTTCTTTTTTTAATTTTGTATTTTCCATCCAACAGCAGTGTGTAGAGAGAATATTATGCAGTTGCTGTTAACTTTTTTTCCCTGTGTTTACATCTTGAGGCAGAAGAGTCTCTGCAGCTAAATGGTAGGCTATGTGAGGAAAAAAATCTGGGCTATTAGAGTGAAAAAAGTGTGTTTTATGTAAATTTTGAATGGCGAATATGTCAAGAGCATGGTTTTTAAACTTATTTGGGCTTCATTTTAAAACTTTTTTTTTTTTTAAACCCAGTTATTTCACTTGATTTGCTAGCTTCAGAGAAGAGATCCGAATCTGTGCCCAGCGCTAAAGGCTCAGTGTTAGCATGGCTTGTGCTGGCCCGTGTGCCATATTCTTGTTGGAGATGAACCGTAGCACCAGAGCCCATTCTTCCTTGTCAGTCTCGATCCAAAGATGTCACCATTCCTAGTTACTTGTCACCACATAACTGGTGTTGATTGGAACCTTTTTCTGAAATGGGGCAGAACTGCTTGGTTGTCTTTTTCCATGTAACTTAAGCATAGTAATATAAATAAAGTAATAGTTGGATGTTTTTGGTCCTGTGTTGCTTTTAAAAACCTTATAAAAGAAGAGAGTATTTGATAAGTAATTTCATAGTGGTTAAGTGTTTCATTTTTTAAGTTAAATGGACTACTTATAAGATATTTGTGTAAATGAAAGCATACTGTTTTAAATCCACAGAATTGCATTTAGAAAACAGTTGAACAGAATGTCAATGTGCATCCATGCAGAAAGCATTTAATCTGCATTTGTTTTAAAAGGAGGGGGAAATGAAGCAGCTTATCTAAAAATACTGCTTTACAAAGCTTTACAGTATTTTTCAGCCGTTCCCTCTTCAGCTGAGCATTGATTTCAACAAGTCTGTAGAGCCTGCTAGTTTCATCAAAGGACTAGATCTCACAGTAGCATTATTTTTTCAGATCTTCCCTTAGAAGTTTGGCTATTGAAATCAAAACTGCCCTTGAATAGAAAGGGATCAGATTTGACTCAGGGTGCTCTGTTAGCCCAAAATTTATGACATTACTAAGTATTGAAATGTGTTTCTTTATCCAAACTACTTCTAGAAAGTCTAATTCCTTTGTTAGAATAAATGACATTAAAATTGGCTAATTATTTAAATGAATGAATGGATGGATGTTTGCATGTTCAATTTCTAGGCCTTTGGAAAGGAAATTTACCTCAGTCAAATTAGCAAAATCTTTTTGTCATTGAGAGAAGTGACTTCTAAGTACAGTTAAGTTCCTCTTACTTGCCTTTGGGCTCTTGGTTAGAGGCATAGGTATCTGATTAAGTGTAGGTATAGTTATAATGTTGCATTTGAAATAAGTGGTCACATATTCATTCTCTATCTTCAACATGATTAAGTCTTCAAGCATTAAGAAATAGCATTTCTTCCCATTGGTTTCCATCCTGGCCTTTGATGATATGCAGATTCCTAGTAGCATGCCTTACCTACAGCACTATGTGCTTTTGCTGTCAAAATAAAGTATATTTTGTCTTGCATTGGTGCAATACTGCTACTTATTTTCCACTTATCCTGTCTACTGATCAACTTGACTTTTGTCTCTGAACACATACTTTATGCTTTTGAGTAGCTATCATTCGCTTGACAGTGTGACACTGTTAGTTAATTCTTTTTAATGTATACCTGAAGACATTGAATTTGCTAGTTTGTAACTTCTTTGAGATAATTCTTCCTTAGACACTAACTAAACTATGATTTAATTTATAGGAAAAAATTAATTTGTTAGTATGTAAGTCTAAATAAATGTCATATGCTAGGTTTTTAGGTGACTGGAAGTAATGAGCCTTCCTTTTATAAAACTTTATTTGCAAGAAATAGAAGATCCAATCAGATTGGAGGGCTTATAGGGAAGCAAATGTTCACTTAAGGTGAGAATACTGATTCTCACCTGCTTAAAAGACAGTGACTTAAGATGGATAAATACAAGAATTAGAAAAACTGGTTTTAAGGAGTAGAAAAGAGCATCTCATTTTAAAATAACATTAGGTATAAAATCTAAAGACCTATCTTCAGTGTTGACTAACTTACTGGCTTTGTGACTTGGGGAAGTCAACTTCTGAACCTTAGTTCTCCCAAGTTATGAACATGGAACTAAGCCCTGTTATTTTTGTTGGAACCAAGTGAAATATGTCCAAAAACTCAGTATGATGCAAACTGTCTGGTCTTGGTAATCCTGAACAACTCTTCACAGTTTAATTTTGTTCTAAGTCAATGAGTGACCAGAACACTTTCTGGATTTGACAAGTACTGCTAAACCTTTCAGCAAATTAGTGCATGAGGTCAGGCAGTTTGGCGTGTTGCCATCTTGACCTTTGCCTATGAGGCTATAACCCGTATTTTACGTTGCTTTCAAAATCTAGCTCCTATACTTCTACCATGGATACCATGGAACCATAGAAAGAAATAGTGAAAGGTACATCGAACACGACCTCAGTGGTAAAATAAATAAGCTACCATCTTTTCTCTGACAAGGTAACTCTAAGAAGCCTACAAGATTTTCAGTGCTAACTACTGACCAGGGTTGCTTTTCAAACCTAGTGTTCTTTCTCCTGTTTGTCTCAGTCGACTCTTTCACACTATCACCGTAATTAGTCTAATTTTTAAAAGTCTCAAGATTCTGAGAGAGATGGTTTATATACATCATCTCATTTTAATCCTCTTCTGATTTGTCCTAAAAATAGCAAAGTTATCTCATCCCTGATTTAAAACAAAATGTAAAGGCAAATTTCATTTAGTAATCACCAAAAAAAAAAAAAAAAAAAACTGTCCAGAGAAAATTTAAAAGGCAAACTTTGAAAAAGGTATCTGTGTCCCTGGATACTGACCTGAGTTTTCAGGGACCAACGCAGTTTGAAAAATCCCACAGGTGTGCCCCTGATCTAGGAATTTGTTTCAGCCCTTCTCCAGAATTTCACTTCTCTGCCACCAACTGTTGAGCCACCATGGCGTGAGCTGTCAGCCTCTGGCCACACCTTCTCATCTGACTCACTACCTGTAGCCCCGCCATTACTAAGAACTTGAAAATTCCTTGAGTTTTCTCTCCAGCTAAGCCATCTCCCTTTCCCCAGGTTCTGAGCCAATTGGAAGTAAGGCATTTCTGAAACCTGCTAGTCACTATGCCCAAAGGAATGAAAGCATTCTCATTCTGTTTTTGAATGAATCTCAGGACCTGTATCAGACTCCTTAGGACAACAATAGATAGCTGTCTTCAAAGATTGAGAGGAGGGTATTTTTAAGATGAATAATAAGTGTTCAAGTCCTGCTGAAGTTTACACTAAAGAAAAATGATTTTCAATAATACAAAATCAGCCGGAGCCCATGCTACTACCACAGGAGCACCAGCCTGACCTGACCAGTCTGAAAAAAGAATAACATGGGGCAAGTCTGCTCTTGTTCCTGTTGGTCCACTATCAGGCTGAAGGAAAGGATTATCTTAGACTAATGGTGAGGAGTCCCCCCTGGGGGTGAAGTGAAATACAGGATCAAATGTTTATGAACTGTCAAGTATTATACAAATCCTAGTACTATTGCCACTTTTTATGCTATTCAAGTTTTGTTCTGTTTTTAGCCATGTTTGTTTTAGTAGCCAAAGATTTAGCTTATACAACTTAAAAAATTCTTTTGTCAAAAACAATTTTTAAATATTAGATTTTGTTTTGATAACAGTCACTTGAGGTCACAAAATTGAACATCACTGTGTGACTTTGAAGTTAATCTCTTAAAACCACATTTTCTCAACTTTAAAATAAGGAAAATGATTCCTAGAGAACATGAATAAAGATCTGAAATACGTTTTTATAGCCTGAAAGAGGTTTGGCAAGTTACTTAACCAGTAGTCTAAGCTCTAGTTGCTATTGAAGTATTTACTTGTTAAAGTTACCCACTCAGCAGTATTTGAGCCTTTTCTAGTAGGTGTGCTAATTTCAACACCTAGCACCCTCTGCCCAGCAGCCTGATAAAGAATTACAAAGCCCAGTAAAACATGAGCTTCCTGTTCTGCTGCAGGAAGTCAGTGGCCTTCAGTGTAGGGGGGCGTAAGCTCATGAAACAGAATAAAAGGTCTTTGTTATTCCATCAATTGATTAATTTCTGAGTTAGAAAACAGGAAACCTTCCAGATTAAATGAAAATAAATTGTCTTCCCAAATGGAAGGGATTCAGAAATTAGATTATCCATACATTCTAAAACAAGTTTCATCTGTCTCCCAGAAGCAAATATAAATAGCATTTTCAAGGCACACGAAAGGAACATTGACTATCCTCTGACAGTCAGATCACTTCATGACTGTCAGCAGGAGCCCAGGCCCGGCGCCTTCGCACAGCAGACGTCCCAAGGAACGGACTCTTTAAGTTGGATGTGGGAGATGAAAGGTGAAGGTCAAAATGGGGTATGGAGGAAGAGCATGAGAAGATGATTACTTCTAGATAGGGAAGAGAGGTGGGAGGGAAAGGGAGGGAGAAAGGGAATTGCATGGAAGGTGGAAGGAGACCTCATCGTTATGCAAAATACATGTATGAAGATGTGAGAAAAAAAGAATTGTGTCAGATTGGGTAGAGAGAAGTGATGGGAGGGGAGGGGAGGGGAAGGAGGGGAAAGGAAGGACAGTAGAATGAAATAGACATTATTATTGCTGTGTGTATATACGTGACTGCATGACCAATGTGATTCTGCCATCTGTACACTGAGAATAAGAAATTATATCCCATCTGATTCAAATGTATGATATGTCAAGGTCATTGTACTGTCATGTGTAACTAATTAAAACAAATTAAAAATTAAAAAAGAAAGGTGAAGGTGAATAGTAAATTCATAGCAGTTCAGATTTAGACATTGTCTGATTCCCAATCTCAAACTCTAATGCCACCAACTTCCAGGAAGTGGCCTGTGGCAAAGCAGCAGTAACAACTGAGGGAACAGGAGAGCACAGACCAATGAAGGACTGTCACATTCAATCGAAAAACCAAAAAATCTGAACAATTCTTCATACCTTACGACTCCAGTTTACAATCCCTCCTCTGATCTAACCTCTCATTTGAAATATTTGAAAACTAAGGACCGAAGAGGGGATGTGACAGTTCTTGTGAGCCACAGAAACTATTCAGGGTGAGGTGTTCAGCACAACAAAGAGTAAGGGTGCTAAAGGGCCACTTAGTGACCATTTCAACATGATCTGTGAAGCACACTGGATGGGAGGATGGCCCTGACAGCAACGAGCCCTGCTGAATCCCAGCTCTAATGCTTGCTGACTGTGCACTTGGGCGGGCTTCTAAACCTTTCTGTGTCTCATCTCTGAAAATGGGGATAATAATAGTCCCAACTTGGTAGGCTGGTTGTGAGGATTAGATGAGTTAGTGGGTGTGAAGTGCTTAGACCAGTGACTGGCCCGTAAGTATGCTCATTTTCATTTACAGATGAGGCTGTGCCTTAAAGGTCAAGGTCACAACTTTACTAGAGGTCAAGTATGTGTCTGTGCCTGCTGGTATGAACTCCTTTCAGACATCCAGATTTGAAAGCCTGACCTACAAGACTCTAAAAGAAAAATAAAATGGATGACTGCCGAGAGGCCAGGGCCAGGTGCCTACCAGGTTTTTCCAGTTCTCGGGAGGAGTGTAGGCTTCTCAAAAAGTTAGTGCAAGGAGGAAGGAGCACTTCACTTTGGCATAAGAACCACCTGAAAAGTGTGTTGAAATAGATTGCTGGCTGCACTCTGTGTGATTCAGCTGGCCTGGGGTAGGGCCTGAGGATTCACATTTCTGAAAGTATGTGGTCTAGGAGCCAGATTTGGAGATGCACTGACATACTCCCTACCCCCATTCTCGATCCTTTGGCTTTGGCATTATCTATCTCCATTTATTTTGTGTGTGTGGAGAAAACCCAAGACCAGATAATGTGACAGGCTTATCCAATATTATACACTTGGAAGGAATAAGTGGGTTTTTAAATCAAATTGGTCTGATTCTGAAGCCTGTGTTTTTTCTACCTCACCATGAGGCATGGACATTTGTTCTCTGCCAGAGGAACAAAGATGGTTAGTGTGTTAGCCTTTCTGTTGCTGTGACAAAATACCAAAGATAAACAACATAAAAGGAGGAAATATTTATTTTGGCTCATAATTTCAGAGGCTTCGGTCCATGATCTCCTGGCCATCCCACTTTAGGCCTGTGGTGAGGCAAAACATCATGGCAGGGGGCACATTTGGTGAAAGAGACTGCCCACCTATGGTGGTCAGAAAGCAGAGAAAGAGGGCCCTGGTCTCAATTTCCCCTTCAAGGATGCACCCCAATGACCTAATCTGACCTAACTTCCTTCTACAAGGCCCTGCCTGCAGAAAGCTTCATCACTTCCTGGTAGTGCTGCAGGATGGCAACCAAGCCTTCCACACGTGGCCTTGGGGACATTTAAGAGTGGAACCATAACAGCATCTTTGTAATGGGCAGATATGTGCAGGTGAAGGGGATAAGAAAGGAGACTTCCCCAG